AATCCGTTCCAGAAGGCTGTTCGAAAACCGAAACCACGCTCTTTTTAAAATAAAAATGTTTACTGAACACGTCTGCTCACAATGGAAACCGACGCGAGGAAGCATCACTTCCTCGTCTTCCCGAGGAAGCGTCACTTCCTCGTGTAAGGAAGGCGAGAGGAGTCAAATGGTGCATTTAAGTGCGCTCAGTTTGCTCGAGAACCGAAATTTGTTCGTCATCGGAGGCATAAAAAACTCGAAATTTTTGGTCGAAAACCGAATTGGTCGAGAACCGAGACGTTCGAAAACCGAGGTTTGACTGTATATGATTTGTAAAAAAAGATATATGTATGTAATCATATTATTTGGTTGTATTAACTAATTTAGCTGATTATAGGCAAGAGACTCTTAAAAAAAAAATAAAAAAATTTGAGATTGCCGGAGAGCATGAAAAGGAAACATTGTAACTCTCTGAAATGTTGCTGACCACACTGATTGCCGTACATTGTGAAAAGGTCATCTGTGTTTCTGTCGACATGCTAGAATATCGATGATTGCTTGTCCCCATTTCCTGTTATACTGTATGATCAGACTAACATATGGACAACTGCACTGATCTTCTTTTTCTGATATTTGTGTTCTCCTTCAGCACATGAGAGAGGGGATGTATTTTTGAAGGATAGTCTACACCAGGGGTGCCCAAACTTTTTGGACCGAAGATCTACTTTTCGATCAACCAACCTCCCGGGATAGCCCCTGACCGCGGGCACGCGCACGCACATACACACACACACACACACGCACACGCACACGCGCACGCATGCGCTCGCACACGCATGCCATGATGAAAAACAGCCTGACACAGAGGCATGCATGCACTTTTGCAGCCTGTTAAATATCGTAGCTCACACGTACTGTTTTATGCTTCCCTGGGCCCTCATAGATTCCTATTCTTTGCCCGTGCCCTCGGTGAATTGTACACGAAGCAAACTCTGAATGAGAATAATGACGATCAAAGATATAGCGCAACAGTTCTGATCACAAGCTGCAATTGCAGACTGCTGAGCGCTAACAACTTGCGGTGACGTAATCACGCGCCACCGTAGGTTCAAGATTTACCTGCTTTATTTTATTGTTTAAATATTTTTTTTTTGTGAAAATGAGATTGATAGGATGATTAGGGTGCAGCGTACATTAGCACAAACAATATATTACAAACATGTACAAAGACACGTCTCCTCTACACTCCTCAGATCTACTTGCGACCTGTCTCAGATCTATGGGTCAATCAGGATTGACGTAATGGGCACCCCTGGTCTACACTTTGCTCACTGATCTGGACCAGGGGTGTCAAACTCATTTTTGTCAAGGGCCGCTTTGGGGTTGCATCTTCCTTCGTTGGGCCGGTACGACGGTGAAATTTAATAAATTTTTTACATATTATTACTTGTACAATTTAACTCAACTGTATTTATAGATTGCCAATTTTGAAATCAGTCAAATTAACGATGATAGTTTGTTCAATTATTGTTTGAGTG